TTCTGCGTCCAGGCACTGTTTTTTTTATGTTTGCCCTCAGTGGCCTTGTATCCATGGACCTTGAAAAGAAAACCCTTCCCAGACCATTACAGAACTCTCCACAAACCCATCAAAACTGAGCCACACAGCAGTCACTAATACACTTACTCTTCTGTTTCCATACTCGATACCCTTAATCGACACACGATTCTTGACCGATCAGTAAAGAGTATAGGTTTCAGTGGTCTGAATTTCCAGTTTGCATAATCACTTGCAAACTCTAGTCTTCTCATTATGTTATCTGCAGCCAAAACAGTCGTATGGCAGGTCGTCGTGCTTTCAAGTCTCTTTCATGAAGCGTACTCCTCCAAGCTTGATTTGAAATCTTCACCTAATGTGCAACGACTAGGTAGAAAAAGTTTCGCTCTGCTTGCAATTCTTGTTGACAATCTTGCCGGGGTGTTTAGTCTTTCACCCTGAGGCAATTCAAACACAGATACTGGTACATGAAATCTTTGCCACAACCGACTAATGACGTTTTTCGACCTGTTAAGAAAGCAGCACCTTGCTTGTAGCATCCTGGGTCCCTGCACATTGTGCCATCCTCTTTTTTCCATTTCAACCACCAAGATATATCTCTGCTGGTGGGCACTCTGTCCCCGAGGATATTTGTTACTCGGTTTATATTCCACTTAAAATATCGTAAAACAAAAATGATTCTATACTGGCTAGCACGGTTCCCAGTATAGAATGGTGTCAATCTGTAAGGGGAATAGGCTCTGACAGAACGGTTGGTGCCCCTCGGATTCTCCTCAGGGACACAAACAATGTATCATATACACAGTCCGCTCGTCAAATTTTCATTTTCGAGTATATTTTTATTAGTATTGATTATATTCACCAATAACCAGAATGCGTGAAAATTTTGTCTCTCTTATATATACCTAATACCTTTCTCGCGAAAATAAGGTGCCGCTAAATTTGTTCATCTATAGAATTAAAGAAACAAAAGCTTCTCTGAATAAATGAATATCGCTGTAAAGGTTTGAAATAAATATTCATATCCATCAATATTTTTTATAAACTTTTAAATTTGCCTGTCCATTCTTTCTTTTCAATTCTTTTATATTACCCAACGAGAGTAATACTGATCAGAAAACTGTTTTGTTTTTTTTTTTAATTTACTTCTTAATATTAGAAAAAAAATGTTTATTTCTACATTTGGAAATCTAACTTAAGCTCAAACTTCACTTTCTAAAAATGAAATTCTTTTAAGTCACATTTCAATCTTCAAAACATTTAACATTCTAGTCAACGCAGCTGAATTCGATCTATCCTGATTATATTGGATTCCTAAACTTCATAAAAATCCTTATAAACAAATATACATAGCTGGGAACAGCAACTGTTCTACCAAGCACCTTTTTCACAAAAAATATTAACTGTTGCTTAGGAGAAACTTCATATTTGGTTTACTGACTATAGAACATTAGGGTTAACTTACAACTAAATTATATGACAAACAAGACGACTTCAGCTTTTCCATCGTCAACATTCCATTATATGTAGCTTTATTCCACTATTACCTGCATATGATGTTTATGTCTCCACTTTATTCGATGCTCAAAAGCATACCTTTAGTGAAATCATTTTTTTTATTCTGAGACGGGCTAATGTCAAATAAATTGATGTTACAGCGATTTCAACATCCTCATTTAAAGTCAGCATTTTGTAAATTCTATGATGACCTTGTTATAAAATATATTCTGTCGTTGGATCTTTCTTTGATTATACATACCAATTTATACCAATTGTTATGCCTTTGTTTTTATTCTAATGAAATGTTTGAAGATAATGAACAGTATTCAAACTCAAAAGTCCATTAAACAGAACAAATTATGGAGCAGAGCAAACACAGACCTCTAAATCATCAGAGGTTGAATCAGGTGCCATGGAGGAGTGAGCATCCCCTGTCGACCGGTCACATCCGCTTTGTGCTCCTTGTCATAATCTGGTAATAATGGAAAAATCTGTCGACAATGCAGTGTGTAGATAATGGCCTAACAATTAGTATGAAAAACGTCAGTCATCATTCGACTTAATGTGTATCGAATCAACTGAGAGATATGAACCCCGTATGCAGATGATGAAGGTATATTGCTGGATAAGTAAGGGAAGTTGACGATTGAAAAGTTAGTCATCACGTTTATCATAAAACTTGGTTGTTAGATTACCATTAATGTCTCTTTCTAGTAAAATATCCAAATATGAGAAAGATGTGTCAGACTCTGTGGTATCTTTTAAATCAAGCTCGCTGGGATATATTGCATCGACATAAGAATGGAAATAATCATTATTAATTGACAATATGTCGTCGATATATCTAAATCTCGAGTTGAAGGCCACAGCAAGCGTTTTCTTCTTTTCACATATAAGATTTTGAACAAATTCTGCTTCATATAAATACAAAAATAGGTCTGCTTATAACGGGGCGCAATTGGTATCCATGGGAATTCCAATAGATTGTTGGAAGACCTGGTCTCCAAAAAACCACATAGATCTTGTCAATAAGAAACTCGAACAAAAGAATGAATTACATTCGGTAATGCCCCCAAAATCAAACTTTGACAGAGAAATGTATAATTCAGTTTTAAAACAGGGGGATATTTGAACTTCAAAGCATTGAATATTCTCATCATATCATATGTTACATGTAGATATGATGTGAGTAAAAAGACGTAAATTAAGAATTTCCATAATTCATACAGAAAAAGGAGTATTATTCGTCGATATTTTGAGTAAAAGTCTCGCAGGTCTGCTCCAATCCAATTTTTTGATATAATATGTAGAATTATAATATGAATAGAATATGTGAATCTTGTTCTGGAGCAAGTCTGCGCTCTATAACTTTTATAGTAAAAATTGAGCATATTTTGTACATTTCTTTCTCTTTCTGAAAAAGAACACAAAAATCAAATAGTTTGTGACGTCATATAATCATAAATTGCCAATAACCTTCTTCAAAACTATATAAATTCTAGTTAATTTAGATATCTCATACAATATATACAATTAAGCACATTTAAAGAAATATTCAAAAAATGACCTTTTTTGGGGACAAAAATATACATATACTGCAAATTTCTCTTTGACTTCGGATTATTCTTTCTACCTGATCAATACATAAGGCTCATGAGGTGTTACCGGTCTACAGGGGATGCTTACTCCTCCTAGGCACCTGACCCCACTTCTGCAAATTTCTGGGTGTGTTTTATGCCCTGCTCACAGATTTAAATTGTTTATAGGATTTGATATCGATATCGGTTCTTTATCTTGGCCAATTTCACTGTAATCCATGTGTTTATGCAAAGTTTCAAATTGTCTCATGTTATTGTCAGCATAGTTTTGACAGAAAGAAAGTAACATATTTTCCTGGCTTCAGAAAAAAATCTTCATTGACAACATTTATGCAATCATATGAGACCAGTTTTCGGAGACCTTTCTTTTCTAGTTACATTATAATTAATATATACTCTATCATTGTCAAACATTACACCTTTTAACCTTGACCTTCTCGGAGAGGGCTAATATAGGCAATGCCTGATGTCCAATCCAATTATGCAATTTGTCTTTACGTCATAAAATATTGGTAATAATAAATGCGAGACCAGTTCTTCCAATAAGCCATTGGATTTCGATGGACACTAATTGTGCTTCTTTATAAGCCAACCCGTTTTTATATTCCTATGAAGCAGAAATTATTCAAAAACTTCTACATGCGAAGAAGGAAACACGTGCAGTGGCTTTCAACTATACATTCAGATATAGAGCAATACATACTAAATTGTCGACGGATTTTTTCTTTTATCCCGATCATGACTAGGAGCACACGGCTAGGAATGCTCATTCCTCCATGGCACCTGATCCCACCTCTGCGTTTTAGAGGTCCGTGTTTGCTCCGCTCCTGATTTGTATTGTTTGAATACTGTTCGTTATCTCCATATTTTATTTATCATTCTTATCTTAACCTTTTTCAATAATGAAATATGTGATGCATCGGATTTTTAGATTTTACAAATAACAGCTTTTTATTTATATCAGAACAATCATATAATGCATATCACTCCCAAGGACCTTGGTTGATTATAGATGAAGAATTACTTCTCTTATTTGAGACAGAAATTGTTGGTTTACACAGTCAAAATTAGATAATTTCTGTATTTATACTCATTCCCGCATTTTTTTATCTTCAGTAAAGCTGAAATTGAATTCAGTTTTAAAATTCGAATCTTATCATTACTTTTTGAACTGTCATGTAGGTAAGAGTGAGATATACATCAGTGTCTGACCTCTCGTAAGCACCAACATAAATCTATTTAAAATTGAAGAAACAAGCATAACATGTAATATATGATTGTCATTTATTTGATAACAAAATACTGGGACTCAGCCCATAATCATTCCAAACTTTAATAAATAGGTAAAATTTAATTTACAAAGGTAAGAAAATGCGAAACAAGAACGAACACATATGAAAATGATGGTGTTAAAGGATTTCAATGAGAGACAGTGACAGCGAAAGGAAATGTGTTTTGGGGATTGTTTTATCAAGGGACATTGAATCTATGCATTGTACATTTGATATTTGCTTGCATATAAAACTACTAAAATTAAATCAGATCAATAAGTTATTAAAGTTTCAAGGGTTAGTACTGGGATATATGGCACTGTGTAATGCTTTGAAAAAATAATATGTGAAAAGAAATGTTAATAAAATAGTTTTACATAGAAAAGAAATATTCAGAGACTGTTTTAGCATAACTTTTTAAACGAAATCTAAAGTATTTCAAGAATAGGCAAAATTTGTATCAATCCTATTTGATATTTCATCATTCAGTGGAAAGAAATCTAACAGAAATATTTATATAAATATTACTGTATCAAGAAAAAAACCCCACCCCACCCTCAATAAAGATATTGCAATCACTTAATGAGTGTAGCAATGAAATGACGAGAATAGAACCAACAATTTTTCAAAACATAATGATTATTATGAACTAAGCTATTACATGTCCATTTCTTTGAAGTCTACACAAAGTTTTTTAACTGGGTGAAATATGTGCTGGGTGTCGGCGTATCGTGGGCATTCTCCTTGATATACAACACGCTCACTTTGGCAAACGACATAGTGAGGCGATCCCTCGCGACCTTTCCAGGGATTCATGCCATCTTCGTAACCTTCGCAGCTTGGAAAACGAATGTGGCAGGGAATGCAGTGGGCAGATCTACATTTATTTGCCTCATAGCCACCTGAAATTTGAAAATGTTGAAATTAAAGCAGTTGTAGCTAATATCAACATGATGAACACATATATGTTGACATATATATATTGTTAATCTTACTATATCTTTTCATCTTTAATCATGACTAATTTCTAATTATCTTTTAAAATCTAATTTGTTTTCAAGTTGATGGTGGAATGAAATATGCTTTTATTAGTATTTGGTCAAAACATGAAAAGGAGCTACATAATTGACAATCATACTTAACTAAATATAGATTCCCTATTTAATTTGATTAAGGTTTAGCTTTTAATTAGAATTTGTTATTGCAATCATAAAGCTATATTTAATCATTCAGGTTACTAAGAATTTATTAGGTGAAATGTTTAACCACAATATTATTTTTTAACTGGTGGTAATATTCAAATATCATGACAAGAAGTTACCATACATCTGTAAATATCTTTGGCAGCTTCTTATAGAATGTGGTTGAATAATCAGTATAATTTCTTTTCAAAGGTAAAAGATATTGTACTTGAACAATATAAATCATTTTAAAACGTGTCCTCTAATTTTTCACAGTTTCTCTGCTTACATTGGCTTTTGGGCTCGAATCGTCTTCCACACTTTGTGGTGCTGAAATGCTCGCATCTCATCGTCTCCTCGTCAAACAGGAAAGGATACTTGCACTCTTTGACTTCTGGGTCGGCACCACTGGCTTTTTTGTTAGTACAATCGTAGTATTTAGCACAGCTGTCGGGGTGAGCTATGCGGGTTTCAGCTTGCAATTCACAGATTGAGGGTACCCTTTGTGGTGTCTGTGTTGTACCTGCAAAAATTATATCTCCTTTAAAATTCTCTACTTAAACAGTGGTATGAATTTTAATTATATGAATAATAAAATTATATTTTTTTTCTGTAAATGCTAAGTAGGGTATCATAATTGACATTTTGCATTGCGTACCTAATTTAGACATTCTTCTTGAAACAGAAAAATATATTCCGCTCATCACTTATTTCTCATGTTTCAAATGGAGTTATATTTGATTGACAATAAAAAAGAACTGATACAAGCTTTTAAAAAGTGTGAGTAAAGTTGAAAACAGAGCATCATTGTCTGACTTTATTTTTAGGGTGTTGGTTCACAAAATGAGACTGGATATAAATATTCACTGACTCAATTGAATAAAGGGCACTTTAAATTTGAGTTGAAAAATGTATGAATTTGCAAATAAATGCATATCTATATATTAAACTTCTGATAATATAATACTGAGACTAATGATTATGTTTTGGATTTACAGATTTTTTCCATATTTCCTTTTTTTCAAATCAAACAAAAAAATCAAAATTTTGGACATCATAAAGATTTATAAATACTCTGATGTGTTAAAAGCATGTGTCCAAGCATTAAAAAATCACACGGTAATTGAAAAATCAGTTACAAAAAATATAAGTATGCTTAAAAGGAATCTTACAGGTATCGTAGGTGGAGCCTTTTGGTACACAGGATCGACTCTCACGGTCTACAACAGAGTTTTCTGGACATTTAAATTCATATTCCCGTCCATTCATGCACCAGTAAAACTTGGAACAGTCTACAGGGTCCATTTTCCATTGAACCCCGAATAATCCATCACAAATACCTACAGAATGTACTGAGGCAAAGCACAAAACCAAAACGCCCGCAAAAACCAACATTGTGGTCAATGAATTTTAAGAGTATGCTTTGCTAAGTCGTATTGCAACGTTAAGAAAAGAGGAACTGATACCTGCCTTTTCTAATCATCGCTATTTATACTAAATGTTCGCCCAACTTTAGCTACCGCGCATGTTTGTGACGAATACGCCTTTATTTGGCTTTGTCGAACACCGTCAAGGATCTTCCGGACACGACTAGTCGCCCCAAATACACCTGTACATTGTTTGGTTATAAATCCTGATAAACCGGGATCAAGAATGTGTTAATTGCTGATTTAATTGGCAAAGAATGGTATTTATCCGACAGATATTTCTGTTGTCATCCTACGCTTTCTGGTCCACCCGAGGTCAAAGTCTGCTAAATGTGTTTTTTGTGAACGACAATCATAACAAATATAAACAAAACATTTTTTTCAAATTTACGATAGACATGAAGTGATTGTCTATATTTATCATTAACAGTACTGAACAGTCTTTTCAAGAACATTTTAATCGCCGAACGTAAATAATAGGTGTGAAACAATTTTTGAAAAAGTTTAAAAAATAAATGCATGTTTGAAGGTACTTTTTTTTGAATTTGTTAAATCTAATTTACTTGCCAATTTTGCAAGTTAACCTAAACAAAAGACGATACATTTAAACTAGAAAACAGAAATTCTAATTGCTAGCTGCAATGTTTTCTTTGTAAGTTTATAAATCAATTTATTTTTTTTTTTAATCCCTATTATCAATTTATTTTTTTTAATTCGTATTATTGTTCTGTATTTGATTCATTTATTATGTCTGAACTTTCTAGTGAAAATTATATTGTTGTGTTCCTAGTTTGTCAGTTCGTTCGTCTGTCTGTGTATCACACTTTTTCCTTAAACGTGTAATATAATACATTTTACAAAGCAACCAGTTCATCTTTTGAAATATAATAGGTTGTGTCCGTTTGATGTGCTCTTTAGTTCAAGAATTTTCCTTTTCACCCAAAGTGACAATTGAGGGTTGAAAATAAGATTTTATGCGGAAAAACACCTCTTTATCCAAAACTACTTTTACATTTTGAATATTTAGTGATGTACTAAATTCTGAAATTGTATCCTTGATGTTCTATAGATGTGCTAAAAAGTTTTAGATTTTCGTTTTCACCCAGGGAGCCAATAAAGAGTCAAAGAAGGATTTCTTTTAATTTTGGAGGATCTCATTGGTCATGGTGGTGTCCTGCAGATGTGCAAAAGGTTTAGGAATTTATATTTTCAAAGGGGAGGCCAATAGTACAAAAAGATCATTTTTCCACAAAAACAGTTAACATTATAATTGTAGAATACATACAAATTCAAGTTTCAATGGGTCTAAATTTTAACATGTTCTTAAACAATTTCTTTTCTATTTGGCTCGAACTACGGATATTTTTTTTTGGAAGTAAATACATGGCAAACAGATGAACATTATTTTCTTACCAAATTATTGATAATTCTTAATACTGAAAAATAAATCTCACCTCTCATGCGATAATAGAAATAGCATTGTAAAAGAAAATTCAGTTTGAAGACTTAGAAAAAATTTAACAATCATTGCAAGCAGAAAATTTACCAAATAACTGGTATTTTCTAATGTTGGAAATTTTGCGATTTGATTCCTAAAAGATAGCAAATTAATTTCTGCGTTTTCAATCTCTGCGATTGCATTATGCTGCAAAAATTTATTTACATGATATGAACACCTAATTCTGTCATGCTCACCTTTTATAAATTGATTTAAGATGTTGATCAAATGTCCATAAGAACTGATACTAAGCTTTACTATCTTTTATTTAGGCTTCGTAAATTAATTTCAAATCCTTTTTATTTCATACATCTGTAAACATAATTTTTTGATATAGACTACGAAGCTATGAAATAGCATTAAATCAGTATTACTGACATACGTACTACTTATCAGACTTGCAAGTATGAATAAAACATCTGAATTAATATTGAAGAAAAATTTTGCGTGGTAATTTTTGCGGAATTTGTCTTATCCACAAAATTCCGCAAAAATTGGACAACCGCAGAAAATACCCGTTACATGGTATGACTTATGATATTTTACGTCCAAAAGGAGAATTCTTTTCACTCATATAGAGACATCACCATATACTAATAAATGGCTTCAAATTAAGACCTATATTAGGCATTCAGGGCCAGTTAGTAATGATGGTTCTTTAACGCTTACTGGGACAGGTCTCATTCGAAAGACCCCAAACTTTAACTAATACCGGGCGCAGCAACAGTCACTACCTTCGTTAATGTCTTATGTTTGATGTTTCGAGGTGGACGAATCCGGGCCTCCCATCCACGAAGCAAACTCCCTACCTCTAGGGTACTCCGAATGGTGGAAGCAGCACAATGTGTGAGACTGAGCAAAAAATGTATTAATAAGATATGCAATATAACAATATGTTTCACATAACAATATATTTCACAGGACGTTCAAGCTAAGTCAACCAGCAACTTTAACATATTCATCAAAACTTTGTCACATGCATATGATGAGATTTTAGGTCTTTCTCTAGCTAATATTTAAAATATTTTGTTTAAAGACATACCCATGTAATGAAAGTATTGTTTAAAGACATACCCATGTAATGAAAGTATTTTAACATACAAGTCAAAATCGGTAATAATTTGCGTAGAGAAGTAATATTTTAATGAACTTTAACCACATTCGATTGTACTAACAGGATATGGTAAAAAAAATTCAAAATTACGACCATAACTTCCAAAAGTAAAAGATGATGAAGAAGAAGATAATTACATGTAATGATATTGTAATTACATTGTAATAATAAAAAAAAATATGGATCTTTATTTAATTGCTGTGGTAAAATTTTGAAAATTTATTTCAAAATGAAGGATTATCTTCCTCATGCATTGCTCTGATCCTTCGACGTATTTGGCTCCAGTCTTTGGTACCTCTTTTTTCAGCTCTTCAAAGTTTTTGTTTTTAATTCAAATATTTCGGATTTCCAACGTTTCGGCATGAGCATCACTGAAGGGACATAATTTGTCGAAATGCGCATCTGGTGCATCAAAATTGTTACTGTATAAGATTTACATGTACTTGACAATAGGTTAAACTTAAGATTTTAGAACATCAAAAAAAATTTACATTTTCATATGAAATGCCACAAGGCGTGAACTTTTTCAAAAAACAAAATTGAATGTACAAAAAAATATATCTAATATATTAGTCTTTTTTCAAACTATAAAATATATAAGGAAAGAAATTAATTGTACATTTCATGTTTATAAACATATCGGAATTCTATTAAATGGTTTTAGTCTTTAATATCTAATTGATGACTACTTATTGCCACGCTTGTATCCTATATCTTAACCTTGAAAGGAAGAAACGTTCACGTGACTTCCACCCAAATATATAAACACCCTTTAATTTACAGCCAGAAATATTCCTCAGTGTAGACAGACTTATCAGTAAATTAACGGTTGTAAATCAGTACACCTTTCATGAAAGAGATCATCATTTGATGCCTCCTATCTTAGGACAGTGAGACTTGTAAACTTCCGACGATTTTGAAAATTGGATGTATCTAGGTAAATCTAGAAACGTGACGATATTGTTGAGTCCTCCCACTCTTTAGGGTATCTTGACCTTTATATCAAATATTTGACCATTCACTCAACTGTCCCTCATATTTCTGAACTTAATATGAAATCAAAATAAACTTATAAAACAGGCAGATAATGTTTACAGAATTGTGTGTATTATGGTGAAAAAAATCGGAGTATCATCGTTCAACCATTAGAGTTTATAGCCTGGTCAGTCACATGATTTAATTTTTCAATATTCCAAACAAGCGAGTCCTTTTATAAACAACACTAAATGTATGAAGTTAACAAAATTGTAAATAGATCAAGGTGTCAATAAATTGACTTTCATTGTTGACACTGATAGACATGAACCTAATTTCTTTTGTTAAAAGTTTGATTGTGGAGGTGGGCACTTTAGACTTAACATGAATAAGATATAAAGATCATTTAATAGGATCATAAATCCACGGGAATTACACTATACGATATTCAATTTTAAAATAGCGCTTACAGAGTGATATCCAATATTTAACTACTGATAAATGTATTCATATTTGTGTATATTTTAACTGTTACAATCTTTTAGTGTATAAAAGATTCTTGTTCGGAACATTCATTCAATTTGATTTACAATGTCGTGTAATTTTGTATTAGGCAGATTTAAATGAGTTGAGATCAGTGTTTTGTTAACTCATTGTAAAGCACTATAAAGCTAGAAATAACTTCTATCTCACTTATGGAATGCAATGTTGGTTTTTTAAGCAAAAGGAAATTAAGTATCATGCAATTCAGTGAAATACATGATACGTGTGTTTTATAAGACGTAAAATAATTTAATCAATTATAATTGCTGTTATTAAATTTTTTAGACATAACAAGAAAATATAGATTACTGAGGCAAATCAATACTAGTACATGTAGTTTGTTTTCTGGTTTCATAATTCTTTTACATTGGTACAATATCATTTTGATTTTTGAGATTAATCGAATCATATTTCACTCTTGTGACTCATAATATATTTCATCAGAGAAAAAAATCATGTTCAGAGTAATAAGGACTTTTTTTCTTTATTTCTTCCGTTTTTATCTTTAAATAATGCATTACAAGATCCTAAATCCGGTTGTCTCACGTTTTCAAATTCTAAAGTGCATGCTTTATATGTCATCTATACCTTTGGTTGCCTAATACTCTTAGCTTCAGGTTCATGTATTTAGTAAAAGGATCAAATGCTATAAAACAAACATTCTTAGTTCGCGGTAATCTTCTAGACGCTTTGAGGTAATACAAAGAACGTTATCAATGGACTTTACGCTTTACCATATCTACCCTTACGATAAAAAATCTAATTCACAGTGAAATGAGAAAGTTTGTTTAAAAATTACGTTAGTCTATTTAACACACGTGTACATATCTCTATTAGTAGCGTTTCTGGGCTAGTCC